GTCTGTCAGCTGTTTCCAACGCATTCGCATACATTATAGCGATTACTTTGCCAGTTCGATTGTGTAAAAATAGATATGTAATTAGGACGAGTAGTCTAATGTATTTGTTTTGCAAATAATAATGTGATTTTATCATTTTTAAAGATGTCGAATGATCGGAGTTGTGTTATCGTGTCTGCATCCGTATATTGTATGAAATGTTAAACTTTATCTTAATATAGGATCATAAATATATATGCGCATAATTGAATGTCTGAATTTATGATGTAATCGAAAACATTACCAAGTTAATTAATTCTCCCATGCACTCAAATGTCCGTTTTCTAATTGATTTGAAACTTTGTACAATTATTACGGGCACTTAATTGAAAGTTTCTGTCAGAGTAAGTAGTATCAAAGCTTGAGGGTTGGCGCGCAGGTCATTTCCAAAAAATGTAAACATATCGTTCGTTACAACGAAGCGTGGCAGGGATTCGCTGGAATGATGTACTAGAAGCTGTATGAATGATTTCGAAAAGCCATTTCTTCCGATAATTTTATAATTTTTTTGCAATATTAGCTCATGGACATTAATGTGAACGCTGCTACATGTATTCACTCAATTGAATAGTATAATGGCTGTCCCACCCTCTAAGCTGATATACATAGGATATGATACATAGGATCACATATACATGCTTCTCAGTAGGAATATGTCCTGGTACTACTTACCCGTGTGGTATCACAAAACGGTCTACCACCTGTAAATATCAGTTGGCGATCTCCGTGTGCTAGTGTATTAATCAGATAATACTTCTATCTATTCCCTATTGAATACCTAAGGTGCCATTTACGACACCCGTGTTATGGAATCTAATACTATGTCACTGATCGATAACTAATTATAGAGCCTAAAAATCAAAGAAGACTCAAAACTGAAACTACACCTGTTCTAGTTGCATTTTGCTTTTAATAATTTCGTAACTCCGAAGCCGCGGAGAAGCAAAAGCTTGGACTTAAATGTAAAATAAATACAGTTGTATTGTAGCAAAAAGCTCGTGAATTTTAAATAGACACTATAATTATAGGTAACAGAATCCTCAAAGTTATATACACTGGAATATAATTAAGGCATCTTTTTTTTCTTTTTATCTGGCATTTAATATTTCATGACTCTGAGTATTTTTGAAATATTTGTGACCACGTACAAGTCGGTATAATCATGTCTAAAGTTCGCAAAAAGCACAGAAAATGTTGTACCGAAGTAGATGGTTTTGGATTACGCAAAATCTTCGGAAGGATCCGTTGTTGAGTTAATTTATTTTAATGGCAGATTGACTTTTATGTTCGGATCTGCTGGAGAAAAAAGAAGAATGTGTTCTAAAAATATAAGTTCAAGTTTGGAAACTACATATAAACTAAAATAGTAACTACACGGTTAGTGAAACATTTGGACGTCAGCCATGGATTGCGACATCTCACCGATACACTTAGCACATCCTAAATACGTCAATGATTTAAATTAAATGACCCCTATTTCAGATCTCTCGTTGATTTTACAGTATTGTAATAGATATCATTAATAAAGTGAATTATAATTTAGGCTGACTGAAATATCTTTATATATATATATTTCTTCTATCCGTGCGTTTGTCATTGAACTCCTCCTAAACGGCTGGACCGATTTCAATGTTTTTTTTTCGTATGCCTTTGGGTAGCAGATTTAGTTTAGATTCACAAATAAGCCCGGCAGATGGCGCTGCAGTCGGTATCTAGGTTATTTATCTATACTGCAACTAAACGGTTGGATATAATTGAATGAATTTTTGAATGATTCATTTCATTCATTTTGTATATGCAGGATAACGTCTGTCAGGTCCGCTAGTACCCGTATAAATATTTTAACAATTGTATTCATTTTTAATAGTAGTTGTATTATTATTGTCCCCCTTTATTTGTGTTACAATCATTTATTTATCGAAGAGTCAAGTTATTTGCTGTCAACATTGTAATAAGAACACGAACATAAATAAAATTCGAGGAAACTTGTTCGAATAGAACGAAGAACCCGTTTCTATAAAGAATTGCCAAGATCCTTTTCACAAACATCCATCGTCAAAAGCTGTACCAAGCTACAGACAAACAAACTTTACAAATGTCTCTACTATTTTTCGTCTTGCCAAAGTAATTTTCGTAATAGCTACATCAAAATGAATAATTACACGATATTGAGTGAGATTTATTGTTTTTAACCGTTGTTTGTAATGTTTCAAACCCCGTTAGAGGATTTTCATCATTTACAATTTTAATTATTTAAATTGTTTAGAGCTACTCTATCTTATTAAATAAGAGTATTTTTAATTTTTACTAGTAGAAGACGAATGGGCGCACGGCTCAGATTGTGTAAAGTAAATATCGCCATGAAGTTGAAGTCTCAATTGTATTGAATGAGTGCTTTTTAAGCTATTGCATAGCTTTTATCGCGGGTCTTGAGCGCGGCGACCGAATCATGAAATTCCGTAATGAAAAAAAACCTAACACCCCTCACTCCGCCTACCATGTAGCTCGCGTTCAACACATTCACACGTTGCGCTTGTGTAGCGTTTGTGAATAAGCGCATGGCGTGACGTCACACTGCATGCGCATCATGAAAAGTCTGCTCATCTCTCTCTCGCGTGGTCTAGCTTATGAGTGTGAAGGGGACAGTTAAGGTTTTACTTTTATTAATGTTTAATATAGCGTGGTCTTGTTTTATTATTGTTTTAATATTAAATTATCATTGTCTAATTATAATTGCATAAGTTGATAAAAAATGCTATGCTATAGCTTTACCGCGGCAGTTCCCGAGTGCCACTCGTTTTTTTTACCTTTAAACTGGAACGTTTGACTATTTTGGTGCATAAATAGGATGGTGGTGCTACCTTTGCGGGCTCACAATACGCCCTTCCACTACTATAAAGCATCTTATACGCTAGACCGCCTTATCAGGGTTTTTCTATAGGATTGTCGGTATCTACTATTGCGACGAGATTATGAAGGTTTTTATTTAGCCCAGGCTGATTCAAAAGCTTCATGTAGTTTGTGCAAAGTATGTATATATTTGATGTTACATATGCATGTTATCATCATTGTTTGGAACGTCGCTTCAACATTCGGGCCGCTTTAATATTCAATATTCACTTTGTAACTCGAAAAAGGACAGACAAACAACTCTACAGGGACAACGCTTTCTTATTGTTCATGCGTAATACATATACGAATCAAATTCTTATGTACCCTTTTATTATCGGAGAATAGGAATTTGACGTAGAAAGTATTGTTGGTTAATAATAATCTATATTAGGATTTTTAATGTTAGCCATAATATATTTAAGATATCGGGTAATAAATATAGTTAAAAAAATTTCACTGGATCATATTATTTAATTTAGAATCTGCAGAGAATTTTTGATGTTCGTATAGTGCTTTACCGAAAATCTTTTTAGAAATATTAATTTAAATTATAGCCTTACGATTTCATCTTATGTCAGGTTTTAAGGGTTAAAGAGTGGGTTAATGTGTCGGGTTATTGTGTGCTCATATCACAATGATCTTTCCCCTCTCGAGGGTACCATTCAGTTACTAATTTAGCCCATTTTTCTGTTTTGCTTCTTATTAAATGACCTATCCATTTCCACTTTAATTTTTTAATTGTGTATGATACATCTGTTACTTTTGTTTTCATACGAATATCTTTTAATTTTATTTTATCCTTTCTTTTAGCATGTAGCATGCTTCTCTCCATACTATGTTGGGAAAAGATTAAAAGGACGACCGTTCCAAAGGTGGGTAGACGATATAAAAGCTGTTGTAGGCTCTACGTGGAAGAGGAAATGCCACGACCGGAACTTATGGCAGGATTTGGGGGAGGCCTATGCGAAAGCAAAACAATCTTAGCCGATGTCAAATGAAAAGAAAAATGTACCTAAATATGAATTAAGGTTGTTAATAAAGGCTTCTTTATCTTTATCTTTATCACAATGATTAAGATTAAGGTACATAATATGTCCTAAGTGAATAAACGGAATACGAGATTAAGCCATTGCTTACTACTTATGTATTTTTAATTCATGAATTATTATTACAAAGTTTCAATTGCAATTATTATAATTTTTTTTTTTTTTTTTTTTTTATGATTGAAGGATTACTGGTGGCCCGGAGGCCTTTCAGTTTCACCAGGACAGGTGGGCGAGCAAAGGCTCAGCCAGGAGGGGTGGGATTTGCTAACAGCTACCCGAGCAGGGAGAGATGGCGCGACATCGTGAGACGCATCAAGTCTGCCTCTTCCAACACTACATAACGATCACGACCACTCTGTCAAGAGTGACACGACTGAGAAGAAGAAGACCCGAGCGCCTCCGAAGGAGACCTAACAACTCAAGAGTAGCTGCTTCGCGAATGAATCTACTACCGGATCGGAATCGCGACCCGCTGAGAAGATCCGGCGAGAAACTCAGCGAGCTGATTCATAGGTTAGGTTGCACGGCGAACTCTTTGTCGAGTTCGACGAGTACGGTTACCGAGGTCCCTAAGCCTACTCTTAGAGCTGAAGGCGTCTAATGCAAAGGTTATTGGATCTGATGGATCCGTAAGGACGTGTCTAGGGCGTCGACGGTGACTGGCTCCTGCATGATCAGGATTCGGGGAGTAGTCAGCGGCGGCTACGATAAGGCGATTATCATGACGCATAGTCTTATCGGGGGGTGGGTAGTCAGACTGTGTTGTTGTCAGTGTTGTGCTCGTAATTAAATACATTTATGAACGATTGTGTGCTTTATAAAAGTGAGGAATGTGCAAGAGTCTATGAACGGTGTTAAGACTATCCCGAAAATCATATGGAACAGAGAATACACCACCAAAATTCAAACAAAGGTGCACAAATACGGTCCACCAAAGGGATGTTCAAAGTACGCGAAAACCCCGGGATATCTAATACGAATATTATATCTACTATCCCTACGTGTATGTAAGTGAAAGAAAAATATCTAAGTGGAAGACAATTTCCGCCTTTAAATTATAATCTCAAAAGTGCAACGTAACGACCAAAAAAAACACTGATAAGCGACATCTAGTGTGCTTTGTCAAAACAACTGAGACAAACCCCTTGTTAAATTCTAACTTGCCATCTAGTGACAAACAACGACACTACTTAACAAGCATCGATAAATTCAATTGAGTGGAAGAAAAAGTACTGTACGTATCCAATAGAGTTCAGTAAAATAAAAAATAAAAATTATGGAAGAAATAAAAGACATGTTCTTGAGTTTGCAACAAGACATAAAACAACAAAAAGAAGATATGGTAAAGATGAAGGAAGACATCAAAAACATAATAGTTAACAGCCTTGCCGAGAAGTTAAGCAGCTTAGAACTTAAAAACGAGCTTTTAGAACAAAAAATTGAAGAACAAAATAGAAAGATGAACAACTTAGAAAGACAGTCTAGACGCAAAAACTTGGTCATGTTTGGTGTAGAAGAGCGCGAAAACTCATACCACGAACTTGAAGAAATGATAATCAGCATAATAAATACAAATTTTAAAGTATCCTGCGAAACTAACAGCATTGAAGCAGTACGTAGGTTGGGAAAAAAGGGAGAGAAGACCAGACCAGTAGTAATAACGTTCAACACATTAGGATTAAAACTAAAAATTCAGAAAGACAAATATTGTTTACAAAAAACCGCATACTACATAAAAGAAGACTATCCAATTGAAATCTTAAAAAAGCGCAAAGAGTTGCAAGCCCAGTTAGAGAGGGAAAAAGAAGCAGGAAATAGAGCAATTATAAGATATGACAAACTTATCATACTGAATAAAAAACATTCTCCCCGCAATCAACCAAACAAGAGATACCTTTCCGAATCCCCGGAGACACCTATGACTGCTAGCCAAGAAACTCAACACGTTGAAAAACAACCTTTGAAGAAAACCAAAGCGAGGAACATGAAAAGCTACATAACACAGACGCCCAAACTAGTATTCGCCCAGAAAGAAGCACCTCAAAACCAAACAAATACTTCCAAGGATAATGCAAAATAGCAATCAACACTAGAACTCCCACCCACATATCATCTCCCAATACGGCCGGTCACCGCGGGAGAGTTAGACCAAAACCCACTAAGGGAAACCACTTTAAAGAACAATACCTTCAGCACCTTCAATATCTGCACCTTCAATGTAAAATCATTAGCTTCCGAATTAAAATTTATAGAGCTTAAGGCAGCGTTACAAGGCATCAACCACGATGTAATAGGACTGTGCGAAGTCCGCCGCTTTGGTGAAAAGATAATCGAAGATGACAAATACATTATGTACCACATAGGCCAAACCAAAGGACTGCACGGGGTAGGCTTCCTAATCAAGAAGATACACAAAGAAAATATCATATCATTCACAGGTATATCTGAGAGAGTGTGCATACTAGAAATCGTGCTAGAAAAGATACGTCTCGCAATTAT